TACTAGTAAGTAATTAGATTAGAGTACGGGCTATTTCGGAAGTTCACAGCACAACTTGTGATTCACAAGTTTGCTTGCCCAATATCACTTATTTATAATCTTTGCTTGAGTCGTAACACCTTGATTACAATAAGATCAAGGCAAAGGGAGCAAATTATTTTCACTTCATGTGTTTTTGTGTTGACAAAAGATTTCATTTTATTATTATCGTATTAAAGTGTAATGATCTTTTATTATTTGAGTACAGAAACGTTGAAACAATAAAAATAATTACATTTTAAAGACATGTTTTCAAATAGTATAATATATAATATAGTATACAAATGAATACTCGTATATTTTATAAATACCTACCATAGGTACGTGGGAATTATTTATTTCGTGCATTTTGTTATATTTTTAAAACAGTACTAATTTTATTGCAGGACATACCGCCAGATAAATTATCAACCATCATGTACGTAGGCTGTTACTTATATTTTTGGCCTAATAATGAAAAAACGATAATTCATCATTGAAAATGACCTCAAAAGGGAGATTCTTGACATCTGTGCGTCGAATCGTAGTTTTATTGTAGCTCTTCAACAATTGTGCATTTTTTATCGTTTTCACTGTTCTTTCGCAACTAATTTATACTCACTGTTTACGTAAACATTTGTGTTACTTAAATATCTAATTGGTTTTTAAAATCATTTGTGAATAATCTATATATTGTCGAATAAAAAAAAATATTTTTGTATCGTCGGTACGAAAAAAAAATACACCAATACAATCGCACGTCAAAATCGGTTGTTCAATTGCGTGACACAGTGCTCAATACAACTGCACGTATCCAGATCCACAGCGCGCCAAATTCACCTGCGTGTGCATGTAGCATACTGGAATAATATTCATTATACCGTCGCTGTTTAAATACAATTGCATTCAATCATTCCAATTGTCAACTTTCATCGATCCATCTGTGTGTTTATTTATTACAATGAGCTGTACGTTGTGCTCACTGGAAATTACTGTCAACCATGACTCACTGGAATGTTTTGGCTGTGGCGACAAGCATCATTTGTCTTGCCTTTCCGGTGCAAACAGACATTACAAAAAATCTCTATTCAATGCCATATTTTGCGTTGACAATTTATTATGGTTTTGTGACAAGTGCTTGCAAAATATTACCACCACTTTTATACGAGATAAAGAGCAAATGCAACAACATTCAAATGCTACTCAATCGACAAATCAATTTCAACAAACACAGCAGTCACAACAAAATTCTGAACAAAGCAATTTACTTGCGGATTTAGTTATTATTCCACCGACAATTTCCACTGATTCCAGTCAAACTCAAAATTCAGAAATTATGGATACAAATGAATTTGAAAATGAATCAACAGAAAGCACTCAAATTAATGCAAATGGGAAACGACGTCGTATTTCGATTGACAATATTCTAGAAACCCAAAATTCAACACTAAGTCAATTGGTCTCGAACAAAGTCAGCTCTACCAATTATCGTTGCATTTATTTAACACCATTCAAACCGTCAACTGTTGAAATGGACATAATCAAATATATTGACTCTCAGGATCGTTGTTCAACTGAAGTTATTGAGTGCAAAAAATTATTACCAGAAAAATGCAATATAAAGAAATTGTCGTTCGTTTCTTTCAAATTAACCGTCCATAAAGAATTTTATGATGTGTATCTCCAACAGTCATTCTGGCCATTGGGAGTGACAACAAATGAGTTAATTGTGCGCCCCCCGAAAATTCAGTCGAAACCACAACATCAATCACAAGCAAAGTCACAATCAAAACAATTTCGTGTGAATCCATTTGCCGTTCGGAAGCCACAACAATACAAAATAAACTCACAAATGTCACACTCAAATAAACGATTTGATCCAACAAATTCAAACAAAAGTCGGAATACTAGGAAATCAAATTCAAATTTCAACAGTCAAAAATTTGCTTCCAGCCAAACCAAACAATTTTCAGAATCAAAAACCAGTAAAAACAAACGAAATAAATTCAATTCAAATTCGAATTCGAATCAAAAAAACAGTCGTGCTCCTTTCAAAGTACAGTCGGGAAGGAAAAATTTTCGTCGTGCACCAAACATCAGCCAAACTCAAACACATCATCGAGACAATCAATTCATGGGCCCAAAGGAACTCAGGTTATTGAATCAAATGGTCAACCAACTGAGCAGCCTCCTCAATCGATTTTAGTGAGTACACAAGCCATCTATTACCAAAAGGTTCGTGGTCTTCGTACCAAATCCAAACAATTTTTTTGCAATTCGTCGACTTTTTCTCATTCGATCGTTGTCTTAACGGAAACATGGTTGAACGATTCACATTTCTCATCAGAATTCTTCGACAATTCCTACCATGTTTACCGTAAAGATCGTTATGAGACTGGATCATCGTTAAGTCGTGGTGGTGGTGTTCTCATTGCAGTCAACTCACAATTGTCATCCACCAACATTATACTCGACGACACAAATCAATTGGAATGTGTTTGCGTTAAAGTCAACATTAATGCAAAATTCAATGTTTTCATTTATGTGGCTTATATTCCGCCAAATTCACAGCCGGATATATACAAATGCCACTCAAATGCCATAAATCATATTCCACTGGGTCCAAATGACACCATCATTATAATGGGAGATTTTAATCTACCCTTTGTCAATTGGATGACAGACGACGCTGAACACAATATTCTCATTCCAACGTGTGTCACTCCACAACATGCAGCTGATTTTATTGAGGATATTACAGCAAATGGAGTTTATCAAATAAATTCAATTCGTAATGCCAGTAACAAACTCCTCGATTTAATTTTCACAAATGACTTTGTGAATGTTGAGGTTTCTTGCCCACCGCCCTTATCTGCCATTGATGAACAATATCATCCACCGATTCTACTGACGTATGAATGGCACTTAAGCAACGTAACTCAAGAGCAAATTTCAACTCGAAACTTTTTCAAAGCTGACTACATCGAAATGAACAGATACTTTGATGAGATCGATTTTTCTCAAAGTTTTTCGAATAAATCCCTCGATGAAAAGGTTGATATTTTTCACCAAATAATCAACGATGCGATCGATAAGTATGTGCTCAGTCAAACGAAAAAAATCCAATCAAAATGTCCGTGGAACAACAAGCACCTTCAGTCACTTAAGAATAAAATGAACAAGGAGTGGAAACGATCAAAGTTGATAGGTGAAAACTCAAACTATCTGCTTGCGCTCGAAAATTTCACCAAACTAAACGCGGAACTTTACAATTCTTATGTTTATAAAATGTCGTCATCGTTAAAGTCTGATCCATCATCGTTCTGGCGCTTTGTCAACACGAAGAAAAATAGTGACTGCGATCCAAAATTACTGCAATATGGCCACAAATCATCGATTGACAATAAGGAGCAGGCAGAAATGTTTGCATCATTTTTTAAAAATAACTTCGCCAATAAACCGCCTCAATTTCAAACGGCAGAACAAATTCAAACACAATCAAACTCAAATGTGAATCAATTCAAACTCAACGAATATTCCGTTTTCGACGAGCTGCTCCAAATCAACTCAAAAAAGGCGTTGGTTCGGATGGGATCCATCCCATTCTACTCAAAAACTGTGCTGCTTTATTGTACGAACCGTTGGCATTAATTTTCAATGAATCGCTTTCTACCGGACACTTTCCCACTAGTTGGAAACGTTACAGCGTCGGTCCAATTTTTAAAAAAGGTTCGCGATCAAACGTTGAAAACTATCGCTGCATTGCCAAACTGCCAACGTCCAACGATAGCCAAATTTTTCGAATACTTCGTCAACTTGGAGCTCAGTAAAATGGTGGCTAGTAAAATCGTACCTCAACAACACGGTTTTATTAAAGGTCGCTCAACGTCGTCAAACCTACTGGAATTTTCCCACTATTCCATCAAAGCACTGAACGACGATAAGCAGGTTGAAGTTCTCTACACCGACTTCAGCAAGGCGTTTGACATCGTTGATCATTCAATTCTGATCACAAAATTACGAAATTTCAATCTGCCGAACAACTTAATCGAATGGATCAAATCGTATTTGTCGAATCGTCGTCAATTCGTTAAATATGGACAGATGGAATCAAGCGAGTTTGTTGTAAACTCTGGAGTGCCTCAAGGAAGCCACTTGGGCCCCACACTTTTTCTTCTTTTTATTAATGATATCGTTGATGCCATCAAAGACGACGATATCTTTATCTCTCTGTTTGCCGACGATTTGAAAGTGGCAACATCAATCGCCAATATCAACGATACATCCAAACTTCAATCAGCAATCGACAAGTTAATGATATGGTGTGATATGAACAAACTGCATTTGAACCTGGACAAATGCTCGATCATGTCCATATCGAAAAAGAGAGACAAAATAATCGACTCGTACTCTTACGGCAATCACAATTTTAAAAGAGTGAGTGAGCAAAAAGATTTGGGAGTCATCTTCGACAACAAACTCAACTTCATCAAGCACATCGATTCAATCGTGGCCAAAGCGACATCTGCATTCGGATTTGTGAAGCGATTCTGCTACGATACTCCTGATGTCCATACTCTGAAATCACTTTACTGTGCTCTTGTACAGTCTACATTGGAATATGCCAGTTTGGTATGGCTTCCATATCATGGCATACACAAAAACAAAATCGAGTCATGCCTGCGTCAATTCACAATGCTCGCACTCAAGGAATATCAAAATATTTCAAACAATTTTAAAATCTCATCATACAGCAATGGGGCTTCATTACCAAAAGTCGAAATAACTTCGACAGTCGATACACTCTTGTCTTGATAATCCACGTCGAAAGTCGTAATAAATCATTGTAAGAAAATTTTCACGATTTAAATCAATTTTTTCGCTGAGACGCAATTTATAAGTCACTGTAAACAATACAAATAGCGATCGTATGACAAAACACTAAAAATACCGTAGGCCAGAAATATAAGTAACACCCCTTGTAAAATTGATTTTGCTCTTGATTGTTTATCATGCGGAACTTTTGTTTATTCAATTATTTATTAAACACATTCAAAAACTGGCTGAACAGATGCGGGAAAAAATGAATCAGAAGGATTCATGAAAAAAAACCTGCTCTGATTGCAACCAGATAATCTTATTTACTATTTTTAATCAAAAAACGGAATGTGAAGGAATTGGCCAAATTTAAAAAAGCTGCTGTCATCATTTTGCTTTTCAACCTAATCAACCAATTCCGGCGTGACTACTGGTGGTGCTGGTGGTGCTCGTGGTGGTGGTCCTCCTTCTGGTGGACATCTATCTGATGGAGTATTTGGTAGTTTTGCTCCACTTGCTGCATTAGTCTAAAAAAAGAAAGCATTATTTTAATTGAAATGAAAACGGAAGAAACGGAACATATTCATTGAATTTCATTTTGATGTCGAATTTGACTGTTTTGATTGAACGATTCAAGTGAAGTTGATAATTTGATAGCTTTCTTGTTGATTTCACCGAACATTTTTCGATCGTTTTTTATCAGATGAAATCAACAAGCACATACCAAATGATCTGGCTTGATATCACACAAATATCTTCAAAGTTTGGAATATAACAAATAGATTTTAAGCTGCCTGAAAATTCAATCAAAACAATCGCAAGGAGGATTTTCATTTGTGAAGTCAATTAAAGATTTTCAATAAGATTATTAAATCGATTTTCTCTTTTTGTAAAATAATCAGTTAATAACTCACTGAGCACTTGCTCTTCAAAGTCTCTTTAACAGATTCCGCCAGGGCTGCCATCAATTCGAGCTGCTCAATCGCCATTTGATCATCTACAATATAATAAGATTTGGAATCAAAGCAGTAATTGAAAATATTCCGATAGAAACTTATTTTGAGACCAGATGTTACGCTCTTAAATGAGCGTCTACTCTCGGATGTACGCTCTCATGCTTAATATGTCACCTATTATATGAATGTGTCAGAATAAAAACTCAACTTCATATCTCACCTCCTGCTCACACTTTTGGAAAATCCTTCAGGAGAGAGCAAGAGCCTATATCTTATCATATCTTGAGCGGACCTACTCAATTTTGCTTGCAATCAGAGTTGGTAAATGCACCTCACAAGTGCGCGCACTTACAAGTTGTGTGCAACTCTTCTTGGGTGCGCGCACCTGATTCCATATAAATGTTGGGTGTGCGCACTTGGAGTTTTTTGCTTACTTATTCCAATATGAAAAATCGTGAAAAATGTATTTTTTACTTAATTTTTTTCATTTTGAATTTTTTCACATGCAAAAACTGTTTACATGTAAAGCAATGTGGTTCAAAAGACAACCAGCAGGCGGCTACTTGTAGCTGTCCAAATATATAAGAAACACAATTTGACAGTAATTTGTATTGATATATTGAAGATGACGAAATAAAAAATGGAAAGTATTAAACTAAAAAATACATTTTTGACGACTATTTATATTGGAATAAGCAAGAAAAAAATTCCAAGTGCGCGCACCCAACATTTATATGGAATCGGGGGTGCGCACCCAAGAAGAGTTGCACACAACTTGTAAGTGCGCGCACTTGTGAGGTGCATTTACCAACTCAAGAGGTGAAACTTGCCAAGAGGTGAAATGCGAAGTTGAGTTTTTATTCTCACTCATTCATATGTGTACAGAGCGCGATATACTTATTTACTCTCTCGCACACCGTACATTACAATATATTGAGCATAGTAGCCGTAGTAACGTCTGGTCTCGGACCATTGACATAAAGATATTTTGTACTTTGTTAGATTGAAGTTTTTTTATAGATTTGAAATTCAATAATTCAAATGAATTTGGAAACAAAATGAATATTGAATTATTTAATGTTATGCCATAGGCTGTAATTATCTACTAATAGTGTATGAAATAATCTTATTGTGCCATACCGCAAATTGGAGCGCCACCTGGTACATCTGGGACAATTGGGACAATTGGGACATCTGCTATATCTGGGACATCTGGGTCGGGGAAAGCTGGGTCGGGGGAAGCTGGGTCGAGGAAAGGTAAACCTGGGAAAAGTTTTGTTGTATAAAAAATATAGATTGAATACTTTTTTCTTAAAGTGAAAATTAAAAATATAGTTAGAAATATACTTGGAGAAGCGACACAAACTCCGACGGTCAGAAGTGCAACGAATAAAAAGAATTTCATTTTGATTTCGAATTTGACTGTTTCAACTGAATGATTCAAGTGAAATTGAAAATGTGATAACTTTCTCTTTGATTGCAGCGTCTTTTATACAAATTTTATCGAAAGCGAAAACCATATGCAGATATGGTGCTGATGAATGATGTAGCTCAAGAGCAAACAAGTGTGTTTCAAAATGAATAGCTGTCTCGAAATCCAATTAAACAATTTCGGAAATAGAATTTTGTCTGTACAAATAATCTGCAATGATTCAATTCGATTTTCTGCAATGGGTTATTTGGATAAAAATCCAAATTGGTTTTTGTTTGTCTCCATGTCTGGAGGAGAGACACAAAACTTGGAAAAAAACATTTGTTCAAATAAAATCTCAAGTAAGTATCGTGGGGAACGAATAAAGATTTGCATCATGACGCAATCGCACTGGATTTATTTTTAACCAGTTGGCTTTGAACATTATCTTTCTGAATACATGATAATTGAAGGACAATATGGTCTTCATCGATAAAATTGAATTAGCAACAAATGTTTTATTTGTGTCAACACTTCAGACTCTATGACAAACAAACTCGATTTTTATCAATCGGTCAAAATTATAATAATATTTTCAAAATAATTGAACAATTTCTGGCGTAACATATTAAAGTAGTTTTACTTTTCCGCACACATAGTGTAAGGTGAAAAGTATTGTAATCGGTCAAAATTTTGAAAACTTCAGAAACATGTTTTCTGGACGTTTCTGAGGTCAGAGAACCCGAATCAGGCCGTTCTGAGCATGGTTTATGTTAATCTGTACGTCGTACGTCGTACGTTGTACGTCGTACGTTGTACGTCGTACGCAAAATTTGTTAGCAAGATTGCGCTCATCCTAGAAACTTAATTCAAAATCTGACTCAACAGGATGATTGGGGGTCGCGAGGAATAGAAATCATTAGATTTTGAGCGACTTTGGTTGATGGAAAAAATTTCATGCCTGGAGTGACACCTATAAAAAAGAGTCCAATTTTCGTCCAAAAGTCATACTTAGTGAAGACTTAAACACTCAAAAATATGTATTGGAGGGTTTTTTGGCACGAGAAAACCGAATCCGAGGTTAGTTTTGAGATACAATCAATTTTTGATACAGTTCCCTTGAAAAAATCACAAAAAAATTGAATTTTTGTATGGGAGCCATGCCTGTATGCTACCTTAATGGTGTGAAACTTTGCACAGTCTATTTTTTACACAAATTACACAGAGATTTCAATTACAATTAGGGGTACCTCCCATACAAAATTTTCAATTGGCTCAAAAACGAATATTTTGTATGGGAGGTACTCTTAATTTTGGTTGAAATTTCTCCAAACCCTCCGAATGTTATTTTTTTGAGAAAAAATAACCTGTGCAAAGTTTAACGCCATTAGGTAGAATACAGACATGGCTCCCATACAAAAATCCAAATTTTTTGTGACTTTAGTTATGAAAAGTGTTTCAAAAATAATTTTTATGGCAAAATTAACGTCAGACATATTTTTTATAGTATTTTGTTAGAAAATAGAATACTTTCAAATGTCGTACAAATGGGTTCATCATGAAAGTGTGAAAAATCTTTTCTCGGCTACTTCTGCTATTAAATTAAAAAATATTTCGTTGCCAAAGTTGAAACATATTTTTTGGTTTCGAACTTTACGACGCTTGAAAGGCTTGAAAAATCGAACAAATATTATTTTGAACTTTCTTAATAAAATACGCAACTACCACAGTGCGGAAAAGTTCGTCTTACTCCCGTAAGACTTTTTATTTGTGTTGACAAAAGATTTCATTTTATTATTATCGTATTAAAGTGTAATGATCTTTTAAATATTATTTGAGTACAGAAACGTTGAAACAATAAAAATGATAATAATTACATTTTAAAGACATGTTTTCAAATAATATACAAATGAATACTCGTATATTTTATAAATACTTAAATACTACAATAGGTACGTGGGAATTATTTATTTCGCGAGTTAATATCGATATTGTTATCGATATTATATTTCACAAACGAATTGCACAATGCCGTTTCACAAACATTATAATATTTCATATTGCACAATGCATAACTTAATGCATCACATATAAATATTACATAGCATTTAAGAAACGTTGCCAATTGACAGCCTGATAGTAAAACCAACACTTAATTTTCTTATGCGTAAAAATAGCATGTATTTTTGTTTGGAGTAAAACAATACCACATATCATAATAATCGAGAGCAAAACCACGACATACGCAACATCAGAGCAAAAGTGAAATGTCGTGTTTTTGCTCTCAAGTTTGTCTATAGTTCTTTTGCCCGCAACAATCGGAGTTTTATTCTTAAGCCGAAAAAATTGATTTTTTTATGAGCGAGGCGGACTATATATCTACGATCATGTTGATGATAAAAAATCGCGAAAAATTAAAAAAATAATAATTTTTTTTCTCTTCGATGCTCAAATACTACTCAATTTTCTGTATCACCTGGTGAAATCAGAATGAAAAGAATCGCATTCCTTATCATCCAATTTGGATGATCCAAATCACGGTCTGGACTTTTTTCACTGTTTGAGTGCTCTATACCGAGTCTCCGAGAGTTTCATATAAACTTGCTATGTGATGCCTATTGAATAGTAAGCGGATACCAATCGTGATTGAATCAATAGGTGTCATTTGGCTATTGCAAGGCGAGTTTATATAAAACACAAATTTTTACAAATTTATTTTTTCGGCACATTGTATCGATCTGTATAGGTGACATCAAAAACTTTTAGTAACACTTTGGGTACTTTACTGGTAAGAATAATGGGCCATACCGATAAGAAGTTTGTAATTGAACAATATAAATAGCCTTACACCATTCTGTGGATCAGTCTTGATTCACCTTTGAAAGCCAATAAATACTCATAGAGCAAGAGAAGGAATATATTCGATGTGTGTTTCATTACTCACTGTTTGGACATTAACATCTGTTATTAACTCGCGCATTTTGTTAGATTTTTGATTGCAGGACATACCGCCAGATAAATTTATCAACCATTATCTACGTAGGCTGTTACTTATATTTTTGGCCTAATAATGAAAAAACGATAATTCATCATTGAAAATGGCTTTATTGTTTTTCAAAGTACTCTCGACGATGATCGATACACTTTTGCATTCGCTTGAACCATTAATCAATGAGAATAAGATGTATTTTTTTTTTAAATTACTTGATGCGAAATTACTTGATCCCAAATTAAATGACCTTCAAATAATAATGAAATTCAATTAAGTTGCTTTTTCCTGGATATGTGGTTACATATGACATGTTTCAACTTCTGCTATGAAAAGAATATTTTTCAGCAATCCCATAGCTTTTTTGTACCATTTCTTATTAGATAAATGTGACCTCGGCGCAAGCAATAAGTGGAAAAGATAAACAGTGTAGTATTGTATATTGATTGTGTGATTTGACTCATTGGTTCATTTGTCCCGAAGCAATTCTTAGACAACACACGTGAATGCTGTCGAAATAAATGGATCAAAATAAAAAAAAGTGAAGCAGGAAACAATGAACATCAGTGTTTCTAATATCGATCCACAATTTATCATAATAATTCACGTTTTGATAATCCAAAAATAAATTGATGTTGCTAGTTTGCACATCATAATTTATTCACACTTCGAAACAAGTGAAATGAGAATAAGAATATATTTTTGTCGACTAATAACACTGTCCTAGTTTTTTGCAGCCGTATGAAATACCATATAGCTACTGATTTCATGTTTTTATTTTAAACTCAACCTTCTTCATTGATTACATTTTTGTTTTGTTTGCATATGTGTATGTACAAATTTATTGAATAGGCTTTCCCATTAAGGCAAGCACAATTGAGTTATGATTTTAATACAATCATTTTATGCCAAATGAAACTGAAATATTTTTGAAAAAAAAAAAAAAATGCTGAATTTGTAAGCAAAGACAAATGATTATTTAAATTTTGTTCATACCTTAAGGTGAATAAATAATTTATACACTCGTCCTATTGTCAGAGCTATGCACTAGAAAAAAATCGTTTAACACATGTTTTGTGTGATTATGTTTTTTTAATGGATAATTTCAATTTTTTTCATTGATAATTACCAAAGGTACTCTCCGCTTCCTCTAGAAGTTTAGCTGCTTCCTTGTAATCTGAAATGGTTTGTGGTTATAAACTTTATTTAGATGCTTTCGATTTAAAGTGTGTATCCAAATTACCTTCTATAAGAGCCTCTTCACGTGGTGTTTGATTGTCGTCATTTCTAACGAATGGATTTGCACCCTTTTCTATTAACAATTTGACTGTTTCGATTCGGCCTGAAAAGACATTCAAACAAAAAGAATTTTAGCGACATATTTGTTATTGTTTTTTGACTTGTGCTATTATATGCAGGACTGTAAGTTTGTCATTTTTGGCGGTTGGCAAATTTGTAACTAAGTGTGCGTGCACATTAAAAATACAAGCACTGTGTGCGACGCACATTGAATGTGAGTGTGCACACTACTGTGTGCGTGCACTAACAGAGTGAAAATTACAGCCCTGATTATATGATAAACATTTTTGAAAAAGAAAGAGACAACATTAAGACGACATTTTCGGCACTGTGATACGAATGTACGAATTTAATCTCTAAGATAAAATGAAGTAAGAAATATGCAAATGATTCGATGAATGCAAATCACACAAAATGTGATCTAATTTGAGTTTTTTGAAAATATTTATTCTTAACCCTGTAGTGCATAGCCCTGCCTTTAGGCAGAGTGTATAAATTATTGTCTTAAATATATAATTAAAAACAAATGATTCTATTTATGAATTAAAATATTTTCAGCAGGGTTCCGGCTTTTATTTGCCGGTCATTTGACAAGTGAAAATAAAGCGGTTGTTGTTACGTGAAAATAGAAATTGGACAAAAAAAATATCTCTCTCTTCCTTTATAGCAGTTTTATAGCAGTTTAAACAATGGTTTCGATCGTTCTCCAATTTTGTCAATAGCAATTTTTTAGGAAACTATGCAATTTTTTGAATTTCGATTATTTTTTAAGGAATTTTAAACCAAAATAATCATAGAAAAATAGTTCTCATGTCGAAAAAAATTAATGCATTAGAGGATTAATTTGGAAAAGTAAACAATTACCCCCAGAAGCAGCCCACTGAAGTGGCGTTTTTCTCCATTTGTCTTCACCATTCACATCCGCTCCTTTTTCTATTAGATATTTGACTACATCTGTATGACCTAGGAAGCACGAAAACTAATTAGATTGAACATCATTCAAACTTTTTATTCTCAATTTGGAAAAGTTAACAATTACCCTCAGAAGCAGCCTCGTGAAGTGGCGTTTCTTTCCATTCGTTTTCAACATTCACATTCGCTCCTTTCTCGATTAGATATTTTACTACATCTGTATGACCTAAAATGAACGAAAAGTAATAAGATTAAACTTTATTTTTAGAATTGAAAATCAAGCATCTACTAATACAATTTATCGAAAATATTTATTCTTAATTTGGAAAAGTGAACAATTACCATGAAAAGCAGCCGAGTGAAGTGGCGTTTCTTCCCCGAATTTGTTTTTAACATTCAAATCCGCTCCTTTTTCTATTAGATATTTGACTACATCTGCATGACCTAAGAAGCACGAGAAGTAATTAGAATGAACATCATTGAAACTATTTATTTTCAATTTGGAAAAGTGAACAATTACCATTCCCAGCAGCTGAGTGAAGTGGCGTTTCTTTCCATCCGTTTTCAAAGTTCACATTCGCTCCTTTCTCGATTAGATATTTTACTACATCTGTATGGCCTAAAATAAACGAAAAGTAATAAGATTAAACTTTATTTTTCATTTTTAGAATTGAAAACCAAAATTAAGATCCACGGTTGGTAAACGGTTGGAAAATATTTATTCTTAATTTGGAAAACCAAACAATTACCCTCAGAAGCAGCCTTGTGAAGTGGTTTGTATTCCCCAAATTTAGTTTTAACATTCATTTCCGCTCCTTTTTCTATTAGATATTTGACTACATCTGTATGACCTAGAATGCACGAAAAGTAATTAGAATAAACATCATTGAAACTATTTATTATCAATAAAGGAAAAGTGAACAATTACCTTTCTCAGCAGCCTTGTGAAGTGGCGTTTCTTTCTCTTCGTTTTCGAAATTGACATTGGCTCCTTGGTTTATTAGCATTTTGACCGCATCTATGGTACCTGGAAAGCACGAATGATGATTAAACTTCTATTCCTATTCATATTGGAAATATGTAGAACAACCATTCTCAGCTGCAGTGTAAAACGGAACAATACAATGTCCTATTTGAAAAAACGACAATTTCTTACCCAAAATGCACGACATGCATTTGATATACATCTTTTGATGTAAAATTTAATTCACGAGAATCTAATTGAATCTGACGTTAGTTTTGCGATACAAAAATTTGTTTTACTTTTCCGCACACACCTAGTGTGTAAGGTAAAGTATTGGAATCGGTCGAAAAATTAAAATCCATCAAAAATATGTTTTCTGGGTGTTTTTGGAGCCAGGGAACACGAATCTAGCGTTTTTTCGATGTCCGAATGTATGTGCGTGGTACCCTGTACCCTGTACGCAAAAATTTGTTAATACGATAACTTTCAAACAAGAAAAGTAATTCAAAATCTGACTTCACAGGATAATTGGGGGTGACGGGAAACCATTAGATTTTGAGCGACTTTGGTTGATAGAGTGACGTGTCATGTCTGGTGCGATGCCCATGCGATGCCCATGGCCATCCATGGGAAAAATTCAAATTTTCTTCCAAAAGTGATATTTAATCTATTCTTAAACACCCAAAAATGTGTATTGGGGGTTTTTGGGTACGAGAAAACCGAATATGACGTTAGTTTTACGATACAAATATATTTCGACACACTTTCCATACAAAAATTTCAAAAAATTTGGATTTTTGTATGGAATCCATGCCTGTATGATATAGTAATGAGCTGAAACTTTGCACAGGCTATTTTTGTTCACACAAAAATAACATTCCGAAGGTTTGATGACATTTCAAGGCATATTGGGGGTATTTCCCGTACAAATTTTGGATTTTTTGCTCATATACGAGAATTTTGTATGGGAAGTACCCCTAATATGCATTCAAATTTCTTCAAACTTTCAGAATATTAGCTTTTTGTGAAAAAAATAACATCTGCAAATTTTCGCATGATTACGATATCATATAGGCATGGCTGCGATACAAAAATTCCCATTTTTAGTAGTTTTTGTGTGAAAAGTGCTTCGAAAATTATTTGTATCGTAAAACTAATGTCAGATTCAGTTTTCTCGTGAATTCTTTGAGTAAAAGATTTGTAATAAATGCATGTTGTGGATCACAGTGCGGAAAAGTTCATCTTACGGATGTAAGACATTTTATTTTTATTTATTATAAATTCTATTAATTATTTTCGTTATTATTATTGCAAAACTTATTCAATTTATACAATTTTGCAATTTTGTTTGCAAGAAAAAAATATATGAGAATCTGGCGAGAAAGAGATGGCGCTTCTTAAATCGAGTCGCGTTCAAATACATTGTCAGTATACAACATAAGTGAGAAACGGATTTTACCTTTTACACACACTTTTTGAATTATTAAAGGAGTTTTTATTAAAATTACCATTTTTGGCGGTATCGAGCAGCTGTGTATCCAAATCCGAATTTGCACAGACTTCAAGACACACAAATAATAAAATAAATAAACATTTTATATTCATTTTTAATAAAGAAACACGCGAAACTATTAATTGTTTTATAAAAGTGTCTCAATATAGTTGCAAAAACTCTTGTTGACGTAAAGACGTGAACACGAACACGGTATGTAAGATGGCTATAATAAATCAGGAAATTTTCTGAATTATTAAAGAATGAAAATACTTTTGTTCGCAATGAAATATACAATACTTCTGATTTCCTATTTTATTTTGGACGTGATTTGACATGAAAGTCTTACATTTTGATAAAGACTTTTGATTGTTGCGGTAGGGGCTTATCGCGTTTTTTTGTCGTACAATTCATGTTTATTATTGAAATGTGGTTAAAAATACGTAAATTCAAATATTTGACAATAAATAAAATTCGCTTATTTCGTTTTATGTGTCACAGTTCGCATATGTAAACATGAAGGTATCATTGAATTTAAAAATAAACAGTGGCATGATTTATTGTAAACTTCTTTGAGAGAGTGTTAAAAAATAATTTTGCACGCGCAAACCGAAACGAACCAAACAAACTTCTTATCACTGTTCAAGATTTTTCTATAAGCTGTTTGTTGTTGCTTTTGCATATATTCAAAAGATAAAGTCAGTTTGAAAGCATTGAATAACATTGTCATGTAATATTCAATATCACTATCAATTCAGGCACAAAATCAGGATGTGAATGTAGACGACAGCGAAGCAATAAATGAAATCAATGAAAATGTTGTCATTAATTCTTCGATCAATAGTATTGCACACCACAATGAACCAAACGACGTAGAAAATGATCAAACCGAAGTAAACCAACCACAAAATCAAAATGCGAAAATCGAAGAAACGGTATGGGCCATACCGTATGGCAATCCGACCCGATGCAAAGATCCCCGCGCCGCCGTAAAGAAGTTTCGTAGCTCGTATACAAAAAGAAGTCATGCGTGGTTTGTGGAAATCTCTTTCAAACCAATAACAATCACGATGTTTACTCTCAATGTTATCGAAAATTGATGTACAAATTTATTTTCATTTATTTTGAATTTTTTTTGGTCTTGCACAATATTTTCTCATTTCTCTTTTACCTTTTACTTTTCCGCACACACCTAGTGTGAAAGGGGAAAGTATTGCAATGGGTCAAAATTTACGAAACCTCAAAAACATGTTTTCTGGACGTTTCTGAGGTCAGAGAACCCGAATCTCGGCCTTTGAGCATGGTTGGTGTGGGTCTGTTCCACGTCGTACGTCGTACGTTGTCCGCCGTACGCAAAATTTATCTCACCCCCCAGAAAAGTTATTTGAAATCTGACTTCACGGGATGATTGGGGGTCCCGAAGAATAGAAATCATTAGTTTTTTGGCACGAAAAAGCCGAATCCGAGGTTAATTTTGAGATGCAATCAATTTTTGATACAGGTTCCTTGAAAGAATCACAAAAAAATTGCATTTTTGTATGGGAGCCATGCCTGTATGCTACCTTAATGACGTGAAACTTTGCACAGACTATTTTTTGCACAAAAAATAACATTCTGAAAGTTTGATGAGGTTTTAATCAAAATTAGGAGTATACCTCCCATACAACATTTTCAATTTTTGGTTCAAAAAAGCAGGGACTACCGCGGCATATTTATAGTAAGATATTTATTTATAATACTTAGAAATACTCTGCTTGTACATACACAGAGACGAAGAGCGCAAAGGCTACTCTGTGTTCTCTGTGTATAAACAGAATCTGTTTGAAGATAAAGACGACTTGAACTGGCAAATATTCTTTCTAAAAAGAGTGTAAACATAATTTTTTTTATATATTTATATATATAAACATATTTTGCGTTTAAATTTACTTCATTAGGCGTCATTAGGTTCAATATTTTTAAAAAATATTATTGAGTTTTCTGCAGAATTATTGAAAGTTAGTTATCCGTTCTGTCGAGTAAATACACTTGTGCCACCGCTAGCACATTTTTGTTCCAGCCGTAACACATTTACACACTCACATTACACCGCTCAGAGATACTCATACAAACACATGTAGTAAAAAGAAATATATTTTTGACTGACTCCTTAAAGAACAAAGGCTACTTGCTAGCTACTTGTTGATTGATCCTAAACAGATTTAACGTCAAAATCGTATTTTCTTTCAGAAAACAAATAAAGCCGAGAAGACGTTTCTTTTTACATCTCACCTAGGGGCTCGGAAGTATTTTTTATTGATGAAAAAACACACATAATCAGAAATATTGAAATATTTTGAGTTTAAACAATAATAATCACCATATTCACGAATATTGGTACATTTTGAGTGTGAACAATACTGTGAATAATCATGAATATTCCCAATATTTTGATTATCGTAAATATGAAAATGGCGGCAAATGATGTATGTCATTTTGTGGAATGTTATTTATAAAATCACACAAGCTTAGAACACTTTTATCTATACATTTTTGATGTTCTTCAGTCAAATTATTTTTTTATCAAAGAAATATAAGTTTTTTAGCCTGAAATCTCTTTTTATATAATAAAAACAACGACTATTAATTTTATTTTGTGTTGTGTGTGTTTTACATCGGTGCCATATACGAGCTGAATAATGACAAATAATTACGTAAATATGAGAAATATTCAAAATATTCTCTATATTTTCCATTTATACACCACATTCATACAAAATTGTCAAAACTGTGTTTATTTTGATTTATTTTTCATGTTCCGAGCCCCTAGCATCTCACAAAAAGAAATGTTAAAAGTATACTTGCTAGCAAGCTTGCCATGATTTAAAAGAAATAAAAGCCATTCAAATATTTTGTCAAGCAATTACGGAAATTCCGGGAAATTCCAACGAGTTGTGAATGAATTGTGCTATTGTTCATGTAATGAATCTATCTAAAAAAGTTGGTAATATTTTCCTGATTTTCAGTTGTTTGTACCTACTTTTGAATCCTAATGTATAATTCAATCTACAGAATGTCAAAGACACCACCTGTAGATCGACTTATGGCCATATTACATTGCAATGTTTCGTTACAGTTTACTTTCAATTACATATAACCAAAAATGTAACTCAAATTCATGCCCACATTGCAATAATTTTTATTTTACGAGGCTTTTATAGACATTGACACAGTTAAAATTTTTCAAATCATGTTTTATTTGAATTGTACATATTGTGTACATTTTAATGAGATATACGGTATATCATATACCCATACTATTAATTGCTTTGAGTGTAAAAAATTATTGACGAATATGACAAAAATCTCAATTGTGAATGAATTCATTTTTCCACATTATTCTAAGACCACCATACCAAAATTTATATAAATTTATGTATGTTCCATTTTATCGATTGAAAAAAAAGAAAATTGATTTAATGATAACACATTCGTTGTATAAATTACTGTCAATCAAACCAAAATTCGTACAATGAATTTAATTCGAGAACATTGGTTGAGTAAATAGTGAATCATCATTTAACTCGAATCGTTTTTTATTGTGCTTGTTCAAATTGATAAAACGTAATGTAGAATCTACAGTGTAGGTACGGCATTACAACAACTGGAATAACTGGAAATCCAGATGTGAATCGATGTACATAGCTCTATTGGCGCAATTGGTTAGCGCGCCGTACTTATAAGACAGTATGCGAAAGCAATGCGGAGGTTGGCAGTTCGATCCTGCCATAGAGCAGTTCTTTTTTTTTTTTATTTCGACCTATGGAGATTTTACGGCATTTTTTCTCAATTGTATTCGAATATATTAAGGTTTAACACCATTTCAAATTGAATGAGTTACTTACTGCATCGATGTCAAAGAAATTTCAAAAATGTCCTGACTTGTCTTATAATTCAAAAGAGTGAACAAAAAAGAATTAATATATTTTTATAATTTCCACCGACCGATTGTTTTCGAAACTTTATATCTTCAAAATATCGACTAAATTAAGAGATTTTTTTTAAATTATTACTAAACACTTCTTCCAAATAACATTTAAAAAAATAAATAATAAAATTTAACAACGAATTAAAATGAACTAAATAGCTAAAAGTGAGTCGAATAAATCCAAACTCAAATCATAATCGTAATCATAAACGGGAATTTGGACAGTTTGAATGGGGCGTCGAATTTTTAAAATGTGTACTCTATTATTTGGAATTTTAACCTTTCGTCTAATCGGAACGAATGAAGGCACTTGACCGAATCTCGAACTAACATGAATGTTTTCACCAATTGTCGCGCTGTTTTTTTCCACATTTTCTCCAATTGGTTCATCATTCTCCTCAAGTTGTGTGACAATTGCTTCGTTGAGTGTTTTAAGAAGTGGGAATTTTCTATTATCCTTGCCGTTCACATTCAAATCAACACTTTTCGGGGGTTTAAAATCATGGTATGTATCTTTTTCCATCGGACACAAACCAACGGAATCGTCCATATCGATCGGGAAGACAATGGCACCGGCCAGATTTTTCTTAACTACAAATTGCATTTTGCGAACAATTGAACGACCACTTTCAAATAAAATTGTTGAAAGTTGTGGCAAATGTGCACCTGACGATGATTCCATTCGATTTGCAATCGTTAATCCAGATTTGGTATCATAACGTTTTTGCCATCCACTAAATTTTGAAAGTGCCTCACAAACTTCATTGTATCCGAGTAATCGCCGAAATGTGGCTGCATTAAAACGGCCAAAACCATTTATCGACCGGAATAACATCCCGGAAAACTGTACACCCATCATAAGCTTATCGGCCGGCACATCACGCTCAAGTAAATGCTCAATCATTTGTTCAGTACTATTTAGTCCACGCTCTTTGATCGCATAGTTTATAATATCGCCTTGTGGTTTCCAATTGAAATTATACTTTTGCACAAAATGCACATAATCAAAGTAATGACACAACGTTGGAATGTCAAGTACATCGATGATATTATCATTCGCCGAAACAAAAGTTGCTGTCAACATTAGACCGTGTAATTTAAATGATTTTTTTAAACGTTTCACAAAACTGTGCAATTTTTCTTTGTCAAAACGAAGATTTGGATTGGCATAGTCACCAAAGGATTGATTTGGCTGTAAATACGTATCGCTGTGAAAGAGAATAAGATTAAAAAACTTTGTTGATTTGATAGTATTTTGGATTGGTCTTACTAGAAGAATTATGAAACGAAATTTCGATCTTTACCTTATGTCGGAAAATTCCCATAATAAATCCAGCCCATCGAATTTGTGTCGCAATAGGTGATCAGATGCATCTTTGGCGAAATCCCAATATGAGCCCGGATCCGATGCGATTCGCAAGTAATCGGCTAAAAAGTGTTTTACGCTCAATGAAACCTATGGAATAAATAAGTTTCCGCTGTTGAGTTTGTAATGACGATTTCATTTTGAAATTTACCTTTAAATGCGAGTATTTGTCACGTAGATTTGTGTATTGCTCGTAGTTTGTTGATTCAGGTGAATCTCGCCACGGACCTTTTGGGAAGGAAAACAGGAATTTTATTATTTTAACCCCGCTAAGAACTAGCTGAATAATAATAATGGTCGTTAAATTTTCAACGAAATTTGATTGAAAATGAAGTTTTTATTTTGATCTTTTAGAAAACCTATCCCGTTTCGTTGTGCTTTAACGGAGGTGGAAGATCCATGAAAATCAACAGAGTCCAAGTCTTATTACCTGTTGTATATGATGTAACATCTAGATTGTTGGCATAAATGAGATGTGTACAAAGATTAAAATCGACTTCTTCAATTGGAAACCCTGTTCCATTCGAATTGGTCTCATTCGTAGCATAGCATGCAATTACTTTATCATGGGACGGACCTATTGGATAAATTCAATAAAATTTATGATCACTGTGTGTAAATCGAAAATAGAGTCTTGCCTGTTTCAGCTGTAACTAAGATGAAAACGGTCAGAATTGTTAAGATTTCACCAAAATGTATCATTGTCTCCTCGAAGCACTGGAAAAATTAAGAAAATTTAAATTAAAAAGTGACTTAATCGATCAATGTAGGGATCAAGATGCGCAGGGAAAAAGAGTAAACAAACATAAGTTAACACATTTCACGACCTATTTAAAATGTCTCGACTTAAGTGAAACACCACACCAAATTTTATTCCAGTTCAATTTCAAATTTATTCCGAAAAATTGGACCAATGCGAATGTATCCAAATATGAGATGGTATCACATCTCAATGACGTTTAATCGACTGTTTAAAATTCACTTCACCGATACAAAAGAAATTCAAAACCCATTCGAAATATGGGAAATACCCAAAATATAATGAAATCCTCAGTCATTGACCGACCACATTAAACAGCTATAACGACTTGGTAAATAGGTCAAATGCTTTCTCGAAGACTTTCTGCTCAAATAAACAGTGAAGAAATGAAAAGAATAGTTTTACTTCTTTTTGCTCTTCGCAGAACTGGTTCATTGCTTCAAAAATATCACGACATTTTGCATGAATTCATTTAGTCTTTGTGAAAGTATAATATAAAAGTCGAACAATTGACTAAATTATTAAATTTAAAAAAAGTCTATCCACATATTCGCAACTTACGTTATAATATTAGATTTAATACTTTTAAATATGTAATAATAGATACTCTTTTTTTGCACACACAAAAAAAAATTGAGCGTGTATACACATGAAATCTACGATGGATAACGAATGATATCGCGACTGTACCAGCTGTTGTCCAAAATATATCTGCGTTTGTTTACACCTCTCGTTTCTTTATATATGACAGATCTCAGCTGATCGCCGGTCAAACGTCAGTACACATATAAAGCGATTTGCGTAAGAAAGATACACGTATTGTGTGAAAGTATTACATTTTAATTCGATTCATGGTTTGATAAAAACATTGTTTATATGAAACGAACGCGTTTCTTTTACTGTGGTGTTTGTTCGGTTTTAACAGTCTCACAAGTTTGAGTGTTTAAACAGAAGTGAAAGAGGAACTGGTTAGTAATTGCGGCGATGAAAGAGGAAATTCCCAAGATAGATGTTATTACATCGGCCTTTTTGGACATTTTTTGACAAAAGATTGTGACTTTCTGAAAATTATGCCTCTGAAATTGTCAATTTTTTACGCAGATTTACTTGAATTTTATGAAAAGAACTTTCCATTAAAATGTTAGGACTGGCTGAAAATTCATTCGATCTTTTTTTCAAAATGAACATGACACGTACATTATGTGCTGATAAACTCTTTTTCGGGTACTGTACTGACAATTTTCGAATCGAATTGACATCACGGCTTATCGTATAGATTATACGCTTCATAGTCACCATAACTCAAATCCGGAATGATTTTCACAATCATTGTTTATTTTTTTAGTTGACACTCCCAATGCAGTTTGCTCGGAAATGTCACGTTCTCTTTGCGTTTTTCTGGCACAGCTCTGGCTAAATTTCAATCACGAACTCTCTTTCAGTGTCTATAGGCACGAATTTCATCACGTTCGTGTGTATCTGAAGCTTCGTCGAATCCAAAAACCCAAAGTATTTACGAATTCACTTATGTGAGTCAGTCTAATCAAGTCATCTGATGCCGCACTACGTCACAAAATTAAAATTTACTGTTTATTCACAACGTCAATGAACGTCTGTCAATACATTTCTAGAAATCTGTCAAAAAAATAAAAAAACACCGATTTGAAAGCTGATTGCCGATAAAAATAAACTGACAAAGGGCGTATTGTTAATGAATTAAATTCAGGCCACTACTCAAGTGTCACGCATTTATATCAGTTTAATCGCGGTTTAAACAGAGTTTCCGTTTTTTTCTTGATGAAATTCAAATTCAGTTGAGTTTGTACGTCGAAGGCGATCTATCTGTACTAGATAAGCTCTTTCTTTCTGTTATTACATGTATTGATAAAGAGGGTACATCGTTCATATATAATCATTCTTTCAAAATAATGTGAGTTTGTTCGATTGCAAAACTCGGACGATAAACAACAATTTCCAAGTGCATCAAAAATTAATATAACTATAAAATATAAGTTCTTCGTATAATCATATAAAATCAAAAAATTTACGCAATCAAAACAAATATGCATTTCATACTTATGCTATTTCTTCTCGTATCCAAACAATATACATGTGAAGGAAGTCCAGGAATTTTCGTATCGTCAAATTTTTGGCATGTGAATGATAAGCCAGTTTTAGCAAATGGTCACATCGGTTTTGTTCCATACGGCGATGCAATTTACATGAATGGTTTGTACAATGGATTCAAAGGCGATAGTCATCGTGCTCGTATTCCAAATTATGCAAACATTCAATTTGAACCGTGTGCTCAACAAACAAAAAATTCGAAATTTGTGTGTTCATATGCTCTTGATATTTATAACGGTGTGTTTCGTACACAAACACAATTGAATGATGGGCTTTTTACCGTGGAACAAATTCAATATGCACATCGATACTACGATACAGTACTTGTGAATCAAATCCGAGTGAAACGCAACCAAAACACATCGAATGGTATTTTATAAATATATATACTGAATCAAACACAGAAATATCACGGCTTCATTTCATTTCAGAGAAATTACAGCTGCACCTGCATCATATAAATGTTACTGAAAGTGATGACTTGTTGATGACGTCATCAAGGACTATTAACATTTTAAATAGATCTGTAACGATCGTTGAATCCTTAACGAAACTGCAAGAAGACCCAGTTTATCAACATGGTTTAACATCCGTTTCAGTTCTCCGTGAAGAAATTCCAAATGTCATTGAACTATCACCGGGAGAGGACGAAATTGATTTCATTTGGATCACAATCGTTCAAAAGACCTCAATTGATATTGAGGAAACATTTAGAAAAGTCCATCACAATCCAAATGGGGTACTTCAACTGCATGCAAATGAATGGCAAACGTTTTGGACGGAAAAACAGATTTCTGCTGAAGGAAATGATGATTTATCGAATGCAATTGATGCTAGTATTTATGCGTTGTCTTCAGCATTACCGTCGCTTAATTCATATCGGACGAGAGCCAAGTATTTTGGGTTGAGTCCAGCTGGTTTGGGTTTAGATAGAAAATTGGAAGTCTATAATGGTCACTCGTTCTGGGACACGGAAGTTTGGATGTATCCATCCTTATTATTGTTAGAACCAACTTGGAGCAAAGAACTTTTGAACTATCGATATCATATGCGAAATGCAGCCCGTGATAATGCTATTAATACCAATTACGAAGGTTATAGGTTAGATTTGCCGTTGAATTAGCCCATTTTTTTCATAATTTTCTTTAATCTTTTGATTTTTTGTAGATTTCCATGGGAGTCAGCCTTCACCGGAGTCGATGTAACCTTATCTGATTACCCTCAAATTGTCAAATATCAACAACATATTACTGCCGATATCGGTCATGCGTTGCGCAAATATTTTTTCGCCACCCATGATTTCGAGTGGTTTCGATCAATTGGCTGTGACTTATCGTATGGGACCGCTAAATTTTGGGCAAGTCGCGTTTCATGGAATGCAACCACACATCGATATGATATTAATGAGATTATGGGGCCAGATGAAGATCACTACAATATCAATAATAATGCGTACTCAAATGTTGTAGCCGCCCTCAATTTACACTTTGGGACGTGAGTTTTTATTAAATTTTGGTTGTCTTTCTCATTTTTCTCATCCAAAAATGTTTTTTTTTTCTTTTATATTGAATTTTGATCCATTTCGATTTCATATTCTCCAGTTTTGCTTCGTGTTTCTGCCATCAACTTAATCCAAACAAATATCCCGTAAATTCCACTTGGTCATCGATTGCAAAACACATAACTCTCTTGTACGATCGTCAACTTGATTACAATCCTGAATACGACGGCTATCACTTGAACATACCTATAAAACAAGCCGACGTTAGTCTGCTCGGGTACCCTTTGCAATTCGTGGGTATTCGTAAATCGACCCGTCGAAATAACTTAAATTTTTACGGAAATGTTACACGATTAAATGGGCCGGCGATGACATTTTGTATGCATGTGATTGGTCATTTGGAAGTTGATTCAGAAGAGCCTACCGAAGATATATTCAATCGAACCTACATACCTTATATTCGATCACCGTATTTTGTATGGAATGAATATGTGAACGGCGTTCCAAATGGTGCAAGTAATTTCATCACTGGAGCTGGTGGATTTTTACAATTAATTATCTATGGATATGCTGGCATTCGCATCAATTCCGACTCATTGAGCGTAACAAATCCAAAATTACCGCCAAATACAAAGGGACTGAAGCTAAACAGTTGAGTTTTTTTCCAAAATAATTTTAAAAAAATCCAAAATATATGCAATTGTATTCGAAAATAAAATTTTTTCGCAGGCATTGCTTATATGGACGCACTAAGCATGATTTATATAAGTCAGAAAATGGTGCAAATTGACATTCGTGAAAATCGTGATCGGGTGGATGTTTACATTGATCAAATCAAACAAGATAGATTGCAGAATTTATGTAAAGTATTCATATATTTTCATATTTTTTCGAACAAAGAATTAGTAGGAAAAATAAGTAATTTGGATTCTATTTCAGTTGAATTCAGCCATGCACAGACATTGCAAGTGAAACCAAAGAAAAATTCTTTTGCGGAATTTTGTGACTTACCGGATGATACGGTCGATGAATTGAGCATCAATTGACATCATATTTCAAACGTTAAACGTTAATCAAAACATCATATTGCAATGACTCGCAATGACAATAAGCTATTAATTAAATAAATCGATACTTCGCAATTATGCATTTCTACAAATTTTGGACTTAAAGAAGATTGTTTCTGACATCTTTCAGTTCATTTTCTTTTAATTAGTCATTGCTATGTAGCAAAAAAAATAATCTGTGTGTTTGAACTTCCAAACAAAGGCAATATGTTCAAGAGATGGCACCACTGCACTATTCAATCTGCTATAATGTCATACTTCCCTTTCACTCAGGCTATGACAATTGGAAAGGTAAATTGACGTCTAGACCGATAAACTAACAAAAACACATCCATTATACAGTGTATAATACGAATAATTTCAAGAAATACAAACAAAAATCAAATCAAAAAGGAATTTTTTGTGCCTCGTTTTTTTTAACTTCTTTGTGTATTATTTAACATAGAATAGCGTTATTGTAAATTCAGTTGAATTAAGTCGCTGACAATGTCTCGTTTTTGATGGTAAATATAAATAATAAATTATTTATGGAAAATCTCGAAATGCAGTGATTTTTTTTTTATTTGATTCACGCCGTACACCGATATAAAGCCATTAAAAGCGCATAATACTCACTTTTATTTGTGTCAAACACAGTTTCAGTAACAAATTATAGGATTCATCACAAAATTTCGGCGAATAAACATATATTTTCATAAATCAATAAAATTGTGATTACAAAAATCAATAAAAAACAAGCGTACAATTGACATAAATAAACTCATTGTATTGTACAGCTTGAATACTTTACCTTGCGTATAGGCATAAAAAAATACGTGAAAGTAATAAATGGAGTGTAACTACCACGGATTACCATAAATAATAAGTAGTTTTGAGGACAACAAGAAAAAGTACGAAACATTTTTGGAATGCCTTTGACCTGTTTGTGTTTTTGTGTGATTATAAAATATTTTTTCGCAAAATATCAGTAAAGTTTTTTGTGGAATTCAAAATAAATTTTGGAGCCGCATTTTTAATGGACTTAACTATAAAACGGAAGTGTTTACCTCCTGAAAAGACGCCGAGTATTCGATAAACATCCGTGTTTACTGTGTAAACAATTCAAAAGTTTGCTGGATTGTGCATGTTATACGCTGTGAAATTGAAACCAAGTCCTTTTTTCATAACTTCAAAGACAAATTTATAACGTATCTTGTGTGGATTGGGAAATTTTTTTATGGCCATCTTTTACCGCTTTTCAATTTCAAATAAAACATCCCTCCACTACGATAAGCAGTTTTATGACATTTCCGTCTGATTTGATAAGAGAAACTAGATTAAATTGATATGTTTTTCTACCTGTCTGGCCCATATATTTTCAAAGCTGCGATTGAATCATTGTCAATTTATCACATTTTGCATACTGTGTTAAAGTGTCCAACAAACCATAAAAACTGATACTGTTTGCGTGTCTACAGCATGCGTGAATAGCATACCATTTTATGTGCATAAATTTAGGTTAATCATTTCGTGTGCGACTTAATTTATGCATGAGACACCGCATCAAGCACTCCTTGTTTGATTTGATAAATATTCGGATTATGTCATTTCAACGCGCTCGCCATTGTTTATTTTATAAAACACAGAGGGAAATTAGTATGCAAAGTGAAGCAAATCGACAACATTGGATAATGGAACAAAAAGAACTTTTTTCTATCATGATGTAATTTTTATGCTGTTGTTCTTAAAGTGTACGGAAGTGTTTGGTTTTAAAAAATAAATTAAAATGTTGGTGAATTTTTTTTTTTTCGAAAATCGTCACCGTTCAAAAAATTAGCTTGAAAAAGGTTTTTTAATAATTTTTTTTTGTTTCAGTTTTTCATACACCGTTTCGATGAGTGTGGCGATATTTTAATGTCGAAATGGTGCGAGTGTTTTCAATTTATCAGTTCGATGGTCAAAGCATACATCGAATTCCGGATGATATTCTGTCGGCCAGTTTAATTGATGCAAATCATTTGGCTCTGGCCAAATCGGATCATGTTATTGAAATTGTCTCGTTGCAAAGATCGGATGAACTGAATTCGAGACGTTTCACCAGCATTGATTCGACCGATGAAAATAATATTCATACAAAGTATGCATTTCCAACGGTTGATGAAGTGGCCAAAATGGTCTACTGTAAATTTGGTAAGTTTCATTTGAAAAAATATTTTCCAAAGAAGAAATTTTCAATTTTGATTTATTTTTGTGTAGAGATTTCAATTTAAATTCTATTATCATCTTTTGACGTCACAATCTAGGTAATTTCATCGCAACAGTCGAATGTAAAACATCAAATTCCGGTGTGGAACATTCCTTTTTACGCGTTTACACAAATTGGACGAACTGTAAGACTGCATCGAATGACAATATTACAGATAGCATGAATTTTATGACATGCAACGTAACGATTCGTGCACGAATTGCTGGTCGCGTTACACCATCCACTAACAATATGAACTGTCTCGAAGTGATTGAAATACCAACAATCGGTAATTTTCAAAACCATTAACAAATCAATTTTTCTTCCCTTGAAATGAGTGGCAAAAATTTTCAATAATTTACAAACAATTTCACATTTAGTTCATAGTTGCAGTCAAAGTCAGAGCAGTCACCCTTACGAATTGGCTGTATGCCAACGCACCGGCACTATTGTCTGTGCAAATGATCGATTTTTAAAAATCTACAAATTTGACGAGTGTGTGAATGAAAATACGCATTTCAAGTACATTGACTTTCTCGAGGTACCGTTTGAGGTCGAATTGGACTTTATTCCAACGCAATTGAGCATCGATGAGCACATTGTTGGCACTGCCAATTCAGAGTATATGTGTGTGTTTAAGATTTCCGAGCACAGTTATTTTAATACGGCAAATAGTTTGACCACATCGTCAAGCTTAAGTGTTATGGCACCGATGCCAGTCTGTCCATATGTGGACACATCCACAGACTCTGTATTTGATTATCAAAATGCGTCGAAGAAATTTTTAACATCGATCACATCGAATATTTCATCGACATTCGACCACCAATCGATGGAAATGAATGGAAAAATGTGCAGAGATCGGAGCATTGAATTGAAACCAAATAATATTGATAGTGCAATTCCTTTGTGCACTCTGAGACATTTTTCGGCGACAAATGATGATGTAAGTTTTGAGTTTTTTTTTTGAAAGCATTTTTAGTGCCGAATATTTCCAAAAGAACGAGTGTAAAATTCGAATTAAATTCATTTTTTTTCTCTTCAAGGCATACAAAGACTATATGCTCCGAATTCTGGTACAAGTAAAACAGCACGATGCAAACGATCCATTCCAGTGTTTGGTCTTATCGCCAATTTATAGTCGAAAACAAAAGGAATCGGAAACGTCAAACTTGTTTCGAACTCATAATGGCAGTGCTTTTATTGGAATTTCTGTGCTGCTTGCAACTGTGAATGAAGGCTATTTATATCAGTTCAGTAACAATGGTATGTGAAAAAACACTTGTTTCTTCAGAAAAAACGTCTTTTTAACATTTTTGTGCTGTTTTAAAAAAATTCCAGAAAAATGGACGATAAATGAAAATGATGCGCAAACAAATGGTTTGATAGCAACATACTCCTTCACTTCGCCCATAATCAACGTTTGTGTTACGGATTATGTCATACACGCATTGACCGACCATGGCATCGAAACCTATACTCATAGCATTGGACATAAACTCTTCAACAATATTTACGAATATAGTGTGAATGACGAACAGTATAATTCCGACGTAAGACTCTCTTTTGCAACAAAATTGTTAAAATCTAAATAATAACAAAATAACCATTTTTTGATAGGCTGCACCACGTTTGGAGGAGCAAATTTGTTTGATTGGCCTTCGGCCATTTTTGGGTGTTCAACGAATGTTTCACACGCCCGAAAATCTCATTTTATTGGCACGAAGTCTTAATTCACCGTTGAATGCTGACAAATCAAAGTTAAAAACAAAAACTGACTCGATGTCCAGTTGGACTTTGTACAGTTTGAAAATGTCACCACCGGATGTGCTTTATAAGGATTTCATTGAATTGGCAGCCAATCACAAGACTGGCTTAACCGAGTTGATAACCAGTCAAAATTCGGATAAAGTTCGAATCTATTCACTGTTACTAAGCGAAGGGCACGTAATTTTACGTATTGCAAAAGATATTTATACCAGTGAATTGAACAAATTCACGCCAAGTTATTCAAAAGCGATTGATCTTTTATTTCTTGAATCATGCCATCAGTTGGCCGATTTTTATGTGATGTAAGACATTGTCATTTTCTAAATTTTGTTGTGTAATTGGGATTTTAAGGAATTATTCTCATCGATTTGCTCATTTTTAGGTCACAAAATCGAGATCAGTATTGTTTAGCATATCCATACTATGTAATGGGCGATTTGAAATTGAATCAAGTATATAATCGTATTATGACGATCATCGGTGACATTCCACAGGATTCAAAGTCGATGGTTGGTGCTGTGCACACCCTGAAGACATTGATTCTAAAATCAACCGATGAACATGAAGAACTGGCACGACGTTTGACGTCGACTGTTGAAACGAGCACAAATCGAAATTTTGGCGAGAAACTCATGGAATTTTTCGCAAAATACGCACCAAACGAGTTGGCCGCAATTGGACTGAATTCCATTATATTCCGCGACACCATGGGTGGCAAAATGTGTGAAATCATTTTACAAACAAACACCAGTGACCAATTGTAAGTTGAAGCAACTTTTTTTCTTCTTTGAGCCATTTTCAAAGTGTTTGTAAAAATGATATTTCAGGACCAAAGAGGATAAATTGATTTTAATTCTGGATGCGATTCGTTGTGATAGAAAAGATCGTGCACTGGATCTTCTGGATAGTTTCAATGCCGTTGATTTGCATCATTTGCTCATGTCAAATTGGTCGCTTTTATTCGAAACTACAACGGTTAAGAAAACCGGAAAATCGATAACAACATTTTCCGAAGTAACGGAATCATATCTGTTACCAGCGAGCATTAAAAATCATGCGATTCGAAGTGCACTATTGGCAACATTTCGAAATTTATTGATCGATTCGAATGTCTTGAATATTGAATTGATTTTAAAATTGTTCATGGATTTTCTTGCCACGAATTTCGGTCAAATTAATTTGTACATGAGTGTACAATCGATTCTGGAGCATTTGCTTGAGGCATACTTTCATCGTTTATACGTAGTTAGACGATACAGTGATACATTGAGCAGTGCCAGTCAGGATATGCTCACAACAAAAAATATGCCGGAATTTCAATCAAGGTCGGGCAACAATAATGACAGTCTTGGTAGTACATCGAGTGACAATGCAACCACTTCAATTGGATTGAATAGCATCAATAGTGGCCACAAAATGAACGATTCAACGCAATCGGAAATGAGGGGCTCATCAACGAATGGGGCTAATGATTTTACATCCGGACGAAAACATCCACAAAATCTATTCAGTTCATCGTTTAATGCTGAAGCGCTGAAAATTTTGACGCGCATTTATTTGAGCTCATTAAAATCACATACGAATGATTTGGAAATGAATACCGATGAAAAATCCATTTATATTAAGTATGTGAAATTTTTGCGAGAAAATTTTAATCGTGTATATTCACATCACATATCACAAAATACAAACTGTGATGGCCGAAGTTTAACCATTGATGAGACCAGATTTTGCACGGATTTCACTAATAACGATGCGAAAAATGACATTAAATTAACTAAAATTCCGATCTTGTTCTTGTTGCAACGACCGTCGTATTTGAATGCAATGCCACCTATTGGACAGCTGGAAGCAACGGCTAGTAGTTTGAACGGGAAAGAAGATGGTTTTGAAAAAACCGAAAAAGGATCGAAAGCAATTGGTGTTGTTTTGAAATTGCAGGTGAGGATTTTTTTTTCTTTCGACGAGTATAAATAAACTTTCTGGAATTTTTAATTTCTATTATTTTTTTTTGTTTTCAGTCCTTGCTCTCAAGCGGAATTTTAACGCGTGATATTCTAAAGGAAGTTCTTCACTTCATTGAGTCAAACATTCCATTTTTCGGTGTTGATAGTTTTCTCGCACTTTTGATGCCATTTGAAATGTGTATCGATTATCTCATCGAGATGCGACCCGAATATTTGCTAGATTACGCCAAGTGTGCTAGCACCGACGAACAAAAATGGCAATACGTTCTTACACATATTACGATGCAATTTGATCGCATTTCACAAAATCGATCACAAACATTTTATGAAACACTATTGAAAGGTAAATTACTTTTAATTTTCATTTTTCTCAAACCAAAAACTGACTTGCTTTCTCTAAATAATCAATTTTCGAAATTTATTCAGATCATCTGGACTATTTGGTGCACACGAAACGTTTGCCCGAAGTTCTCAACATCGTTCCGATGAAATACTTTGATGATGGCATTGCACAAATGATATCCAGAGCACAAGAGAAAATTGATAACGGTAATTAACTTCTATCCACTTGAGACTTAAGTGACGAAAAATGACTTAAGTTTTGAGTTATTTTTCGATAATAAAGCGTCTTTCAAATCTTTTGGTCAAGGCTGATGATTCAAGTTACCAAAAGAAGCGTTTAATATCACTTTGAAATCATTTTTAATATTAATTTTCAACTTTCACGATTATTTATCGATTCAAAAAAAAACGACTAATTTATTTCCAAAGTCCGATATCAAACTTCGAAAAAAAAACATCAATTACGTACAACAATTAAATTCATGAATATTTAAAATCACTCTTTTTACTGCAAAAGTTGAACAAAAAATAGCCGAAAAATGAATTAAATTTGTTTTTTATTCACCAGGTGAAAATGTCGAAAATGCTGAAATATTTCCGGAAAACAATAACAATGCGCTGATTACAAATTTCTTGAAATCGGCCATTGATACCGATCGTTCCGAGCGACTCAACGAAATGATTAAAACGACGGGATTTCAACTGTACAATACTTTCATCGGTGGAAATCATCCGGACACCACCAGATCGGCCGCTGACAATTAACTGCTGTCAATCAATTATGTGCTTCGCATATTTTATATATACCCATTCCATATTAGCGAAATTTATTTGTTTTGGCTTCTGTCTGTAGCCGACGATCCTTTGAAAGTATTTAATGATAAATATATAGGCGAATATGTTGTTAGAATGTCTAGTCAATTTTACGGAGAGCTTTCGGCCCTTCTCAACTATATACATACAAAAATTAATTCATATTATACAATTCAATAGTTTCACTCAATATTTTACATTTCCACACGCACCTAGTGTGTAGGCAAGGTATAATTCAGTAATAAAGCTAGACTCTATATATCGAGTATTTTAGTTTTTAAAAAAATGATTCATTGTTTTTCTAGACGAAAAAAATCATTGAACATCGAAGAAGGGATACTTGAATTTGTTGAATTTGACAGAGATGCTGAGAAATGCATACTCACTGAGCGTGACTTAATTTCATCCCAGAACCTGTTTTGAGATTGAATTGCACATACTTTCCGAAATTAAAACGAACTCTGAATTGTGACGTACATCAACGACGCCATTTAGATTTATGCAAATTCATAATGACGACGCAATTAAATATAATTCGGTCATTTACAATAGTTTCGTTCATTTTGTGATATTCTCAATTTTGTTTTTTCAATTCCATTGATTGAATATTTTCATTAAACACAGTCCTGATGACACAAGAATCTTAAAAAGAATTTCAAATTCATGTCAAACCAGTTTATATAATTACTTTTTATACAATTCCAGAACTCTTTATCGCCTGTGATCTAAAATGCGTGCACAGTGAACAGTTTTACTTTTCCGCACACACATAGTGTGAAAGGGGAAAGTATTGT